GCTGGATGCTTTTAAAAACAAAGACTTGCCTGGAAGTGCCTTGAGCCATCCAACGCTCGGGGTGTGTAACAGACACCTGCCATGGCCCAGTTGAAAAGAAAATGTAATAAATCCCAAACTCTGAGCTGAGCCCGTGGGTTTTCATTCCCATCATTTTCATGCCAAGGAGCACAATGCTCCCGGCAGGCCACGGGGTCCTGCGCTAACACGATTAGCCAGGCAGATCCACCATCCGCATCCGTCACCCCCAACGCTTGGTCAACTTTGAAAAGTTCAGCAGCTCAACAGGTGAGGCCATGAAACCCGATCACAACAGACAATGTCATCCCCCCAGCGTCGTGCTGGGAAGAACTTGTCACGTGCGTCATATCGGGCAACATGCTTGAAACAGAGCAGTGCACTGAAACCCCAGCAACACGAATAATCTTTGCCATCTGTTTGAACAACTCAACCCTCCTCAGATCTAAAGGAATGATCCCATGCAAACACAAGGGCCTTGCTGACTGACTATAGCAGTCCAGCCCTTCTTTTGGGGGCCATTTTCCTCCCAGCGTTGCACGGCAGCTCAGGACATGTCGTGGGGAGCCACTGCAGTGGCCAAGGGGGCACTGAACTCCATGCACATTCCGAGGGGCCACTAAAAGTCCCTGCTTGCTTAAGCACAACACAGTGCAAGGTAAATAGTTGAGTTTTAATTTTTTTTTTCACATCAAGAAAAGAAAATCTCAATACCAAAATTGTTTGGCAAAACCTTCCCAGAGAACACAACTGTCCTTTAGGAGATGCTTGTTCTGACCCAGCACAACTCATAGGAATGCAGTGGAGGAACCAGTCTTTGCTCAGATGCAGTCATTTGCACCCAAAGCCCAGTTGGGACTATCAGGACTGTCCCCAAACTTCCTGGGGCCAATAAACCGTGTGACACTCAGTGGAAACCAACCACGGTTCTATCTGTGCTGCTGGATCCATGCATCACTGGGAAGGCAATTAAGTAGCAGGTATTAAACCTTCATTAAAGCAGAGATTATAGATCATGGCCAAAGACAGGGGCAAAATCCTGCCTTGTTCAAGATTTGGTTCATCAGGGCTTTCACCCCAAACTTTTAACCTTATTCTTCTTTGCTCACAGCCTGGCCAATTGCAAGCACCAGCTTGTACCCCCACACATTCCTTGGGGGAAAAAAAAAGCAGGCTCATGGGAAAAAATATAAATAAGGAAGTTTCTCACAATTCAGGAATTGCTTTCAAGCAGCACCTTGCACCCTAAAGTCCAAACAATTTCAGAGTCTAAGAAATGCATATTTGAAACAGTTTATCACACACCACCAGACCACAGGGCCTGACCCTGCTGATCCAAATCACCCAGTAGCAGCAAGGACAATGAATTAAGGCAACCTAGCAGTAGTGGGAAGACAAAGCACCAGCATTTTAAGAATTTTCCATAAGAGAAAAGAAGAAAAAAGGACAAGAGGTCTCCCTGGTGCCCTGCTAGAAGCAGAGGAGCGCTGCCTGGTCCTGCTATCGCAGTTACAGCCAGCACAGCCGCGGCAGAGGTTCCTAGCAGAGAGCTACAGACCTGAAATATAAATCAGTGATGCTGAGTAGGGCTGACAACACCCAGCCCAAGGCAGGAGGGACTGGGCATTACAGCCCACGGGCCTGAAAATAATAACAAAAAAAGAAAAAACCCAAAACATGTAACACTAACGACAATCATTTTTTCTTACAATATTTAGAGGACAACAGGCTTTCAAGTCCATAGGACACTTCAAAATGCATCATTGTTGAATCAAATGAAGAAAATCATAAAAGAAATTCAACAACTGATTTTCTAGGCTTGGAAGAAACACTTCCACCAAGCTCTACTGTAAACCCCAAAGAAAGTAATGACATCCCTGAGGCTGCTCAGCCAGACACATGCACACAGGCTGTGGAGCTGAACTCCCTACTGCCACAAAGAGGGAACTTCTCTACTATCCAAAAATTCAAGACACTTCATAAAATTAGTTTGCAATAGTGGCTGGATCCCATTCCTGCCCTGTCACAATACATATTTTCACTAGAAGCAGTTAACATGCTGTATTCATTATGGGGGAGGTGGGGGGGGGGGGAAAACCTTGCAATGTGCATACAGAAGTTATTTCCACCAATTTTTAGTTATCTCACTATTGAAAAAAACCATTTAATTTGTCCTGTTTCCCCCATGCTTTTCAGGAACGATACTCAGCACCACTTGATGGTGTTCTGCATTCCAGACTATGGAAACAAACCAACAGATTTCATTTCACTTGACAGAAAATGGAGCAAGGAACAAGTTTGTGTTTCCTCTTTCTAAAGTTATTTTCAATAGATGAAAACTTCAGGCAGAAACAAGTAGTTAAACAGGATTAATCACAATCACTTCCAAAAATAAGAATTCATCAAGCCAAACAAGTAAATCTCATGCCCCTCCGTCTTGAAAATCTGAAAAATATTTTGGATGGCAGGAACAACTTAAACAAAAACTCCTAACAAACATAAACAGATTTAGTCAATTAACTAAAATACACTTCAAATGAGACATGGGTCAAAAATTCTATCTTCATCTTTTCAAAGTCAGGCAATTGGACTTGCACTACACTCTGAGCGCTGAGGACACAGTAACTCCCCCAGTTCCAAAGCTGAGTAGATTTGAGCAAAAGCATCTGAAAAATAAAGACAAGGCTTGCCCAGCTCACTGCACCGTGCTGACACCACACACCTTCTACAGCATCTTTAATCCAACTGTATTGAAACACTAACAAGAAGATACAAACACATCTCCTTATTGATACTAAGATAATAAATAAAAGCCTCATTACGTCTGGGAGAAATAAACGTGTTCTTGAGGAGCGCTGGGAAGCCAAGATTCACTAAAGTCAGCAAGAGCTTGAAGTTACTACTCTATAGGATCTGACTTCTAATGACTAAATTTATAGGAACAAACTTCTGTATCTAATTCTAATTAAGTTAGAAATAATGTACAATATATAACAACTTGTCTGCTGGTTTTCCATCCTCTCCCAAGTATTTTGCATTAATTAGCTCCCCCCCAGTTGACCCAGGCCCCAGTCCCACAGACAGCCAGACACACTCCCATCTTCGGGGTAAATCACACACAACTGATTTCAAGACTTCCAGCACCTCTTGCTGCTTGAGAGCATCACCATTCAGACCTCAACATTTGTCAGATCTCGGCTAAAAGGGCTAAAAGCCCTTTTGCAAAGATACTAATGAAAAAACACAGTATATTTGCAGGGATAGGGCCCACACTGCTTAAAATTCAGCAGCTGATAAGGTGAAGCTTTAAGAAGTTAAACACAATACCTGTTCTCCAAATTTAAAAATAATATATATCCTTTAAATATTGGCTTTCACCCACTACATCTGGGATAACAGATGAACTCAATCATAAAGATTATTCTCTCCTTCTCCCCTTCCACCTCCTACTTGTAAAAGATTAATCAACCATTTTATGGTCTAATTTAGGTGCCTAATTAAAAACAGAGTTCAACACATACAACACCATTTTGCTGATAAATCCTGACAGGTTTTCTGCTCTGTTATATGGAAGTTCTCCTTCAAAATGGGAGATTTTTAAACTCAGCTGAATTTACAAATGTTTCATTTGGGCTGCTGTGGGACGACACGCCACAGCCTCCACCGAGATGACAGAATTTCCTAAAAGGAAACGGCTTTCAAATATTTCCTCCTCATTAGATCTTATCCTTCACTCATTTCACTAACTGCTGGGAGATGGCAACATTAAAAAAAAAGAGACATAAACGTAAGCGGACTTGTCGGGTGGGAGTTTCAAGACTACAAAGAGGTTACAATTCGGAACTTCACAGCTCCCATTTAGCTTCAAAGTTTCCATCTCGGCTTCTTTAGCATTCCTGTAAACACTCAGTAGAAAGACGTATTCAAAACACCCCGATAAAGAAACTTCAGTCGGAAAAGGGTGAGAAAGGCACGGAAACGGGGTAGCCCCTCGATCGGTGTCCGATCGCGCTTCTGCTCCGCAGCCACCGCCGCCCTCTCCGCCAGCCCACCCGCACACAGACACCCTGGTCCGGGCTGCTCCTGGCAAAACCACTTACAATTACATCCATGCTTACAGGCTGCAAACCACAGATTTATAATTTTCTCCCAGTGCAAAGGGTTCATCCCGTTGCCGACTCGCCCGGTACCCGCTGCTCCCCACACCGCTCCCGCAGCGCAGCGCCGGGCTGGCGATCGCGACCTCGGGCGATCCATCAGCTCCACAGATGATTACGGGGAAGGAGAAAGCGAACGGAGACTGAATGCAGGCAGCGAGTGAGGAAGCTTTACCTGGAACGTGGAGCTGCCGCCTGCCAGTCCCAGCCAGCGCTCCCGGAACGGGTCAAATCCCCTCCAAACGTGCAAAAAAATTCCCAAATGACTAAATCCTCCCCACCTCGCCTCCCCGACACAAAAAATGGAAAAAGAGAAAACGGGTCAAGCCCCACCGCAATGGGTACAAAAAAAACCCCAAAAAACCAAAAAAACCCGAACCCAAAAGGGTCAGAAAACACGCGGTCGCTGAGCGCACCGCCCGCCAGCCCGTGCAGACCCGGGAGACACACCAGTCATCCCTCAGCAACACCCGGAGCTGGAGGAAAAGTATGCTCCAGCAAAAGACCGGGAAGTACAGCGGAATAAGAGTGTTTAAAAATATTAAATTAATATGTAACCTTTATAAAAAAATTAAATAGGGTTTGGCTCGCGGAAAACCTGCAGACGCTCCGCCGCCGCCTGAGCTAACGAGGACCGCAAGTTGCGCTCTGGGTTTATTATATTTGTAGGGGTTGTTTTTTCGGGGGAAAGCATTTAGCGGAACATTTAGTCTTCGCCTCGGGCGCTCCCCAACCTGCTCCGGAGCCCGGGGCGGCCGCATCCCCGCACCGGGGCGGCGAGCGCAGGACGGCTGGGACCCCGCTCAGCCCCGGCCCGGCCCGTACCTGTACCAGGCGAGTCCCCGCTCGTAGTTGCGGTCGAAGAAGTGCGGCTCGGCGCCCACGGCGCGCACGTCGGGGTGCACCCGCAGGAACTCCAGCAGCGCCCGCGTCCCGCCCTTCTTCACGCCGATGATGATGGCCTGCGGCAGCCGCTTGGTACCGGAGCCGTTGAAGAAGCTGGAGATGGGGCTGCCGGCGTCGGGCGCTGCCCGCTGCTCCTCCAGGCTGCCCTCCTCGCCTGGCTCTCCCGGCAGCAGCGGGGGCAGCGGCGGGGCCGTGCGGGGCGGCGCGGGTGACCCGCGGGTCGTCAGCCCGGCGCAGGAGCCGGCGCACGAGTAGAACATGTAGAGCCAGAGGAAGAGCATGATGAAGAGCAGCAGCAGCCTCCGCCTCAGCGGCGGCAACGCGACGGGGGCATCGAGGCAGCGGTTCAAGCGCTGCCCCATGTGCCCGCGGGCGCAGCGGGATGCATGGCTGGAGCCCGCCCGGCTCGGCTCGGCTCTGCCCGGCGCCTCATGGGCACCCGCGGAGGCTCAGCACGGCCCCATCGCCGCCGCCCAGCGCTGCCGCCCGGCCCGCTCCGCTCCGCGCCCGCCGCCGGGAGCGCAGGCAGAGCGGCGGGGGCGGGGCGCGGGCCCGGGGGACGGGCGGCGCCCTCGGCCAATCACAGCCGCGGCTTCTCGCATAATGAGGAGGGGCGGGGCGAGAGGAGCGGAGGACGCGTTGATTGGCTGGCGGCAGGAGGGGCCGCGCCGTCGGGGCCCCGGGCCCGTGGGGCACCCCCGGGCGGCTCCGGGGGCTCCGAGAGCCGCACGCTCGTCCCAGGCTGGGATTGCCCGTGCCCTGTCCTCCACGGCTGCAGGGAGCAGCCAGGCACTGGGGGCAGCATGGTGTGGGGGCAGCATGGTGTGGGGGCATCATGGTGTGGGGGCATCATGGTATGGGGGCATCATGGTGTGGGGGGCAGCATGGTGTGGGGGCATCATGGTGTGGGGGCATCATGGTGTGGGGGCATCTCAGTCAATTTTTTCTCCTCCTTGTCCCCAGATACGTGGGTAGCAAGGTTTCCAGGGAGACTTTATTGTGGTCTTTCAGTATCTAAGTGGGGATTATAAAAAAGATGGGGACAAGCCTTTTAGCACAGTCAAGGGATAATGGTTTTAAACTGACAGAGGGTAGGGTTAGATTAGATATTAGGGAGAATTCTTTTACAATGAGGGTGATAGAACACTGTATGAGGTTGCCCAGAAAAGCTGTGGATGGCCCATCCTTGCAAGTATTCAAGGCCAGGGTGGACGGGGCTTGGAGTAACCTGGTCTAGGGTGCTGGACTATATCACCTTTAATGGTCCCTTCCAACCCAAGCTATGTTGTGATACTATGATTTGCCTTTTTTGTTGATGAGTTGGCTTTTCAAACTGCTGCACCTTCTGTTGTGCTGTATTTTCTGAAATCCTGGCCCTTAAAAATTCCTGGTGAGATTTGCCACAGTCTACATTATAGGAGTAACACACAGAAACTAAACCCAACACAATAGGTCCTGCAAGGCAGACTCAGAGAATCTGTCTGAGGAGATCCTTGCCACAATACCATTAGCTGTGGGACCCTCCTTTCCAGGACCAGATTGCTCCAGCATTCTCCAGGGATGGGGATTTTGCACATTCCATGGAAGTGCTTTAGCTGGTATTCTCCCAGCAATCAGGTAACTTATAGCTTCAATGCATTTGGGCAGCTTTTCTTTTCTGGTTGCTTTGGGGTTTTTTTGGTTTTTTTTTTTTTAATTAAAAGATGCTAAATATAACCCATAGAGGTGCAGCTTGCAGTGAGTGTTCTTGGAACAGGGTTGCTGGGCCAGCAGGCAGTGGCCATCCCAGCTGGGGGAGACAGGCCGTGGGGCAGCTGTGGGTACCATCACTGGGACTCAGAACAGCTCAGCCACTGGCAAGGCAAGTGCCCAGGGCTTCATGCAGCCTCTCTGCACCCGTCCAAGTGCCACATAATGCCTTAGAGCCCTCAGCTGTGGCTTTGTAACCCCACCACTGAACAGGGACATCCCAGGAACAACCTCAGGGGACCCCAGGGACATCACTGCCTCTCACAGTGTCTCGCTGTGCTGTCCTGCCCATGCTCCCACCAGGGCCATGGGCAGCACTGCTCCACAGATGTAAGAAGAGATCTTGTTTCTCTTAACCTGAAACCATTTCCTTTCCCCCACTGCCCTCCCTCCCCTTACTCTAATTTGTCCCTGGGGTTTTAATATCTATTTCTCCAAGTGCCATAAGCCAAATTTACTGCTCACATAACTGCACTGACTTCAATGGAGAAGAGCGTTTAGGGTGCTCCAAGGAGGCATAAGTAGGAGTGATGTGATGGAATTGAGTAAAGGAAAATATAGTCTGACTGTCAAGAAGAGTTTCCTACCAGTGAAATCTATAGACTGCGGAAGTGTCCCATGGGAACGGGCAGAAACCAAGTTGCTGAAGTCATTTTAAACCAGCACAAGAGAATAGGAAATCAGCCCGGTAACTGGCCAGAAGGGAGGAGAGATGACATCATGCTACTTCTCCGTCTCTAATTTCTGTGGCTGCATTGCTTTGTCCATGAAATTATTTTAACGCAACTGGATTTCACCTTCTTTTGGGTGATGTGATGGCTCCGGCTGCTTTGGAGAAGTTTCAGTTCCTCTGCCCTGGATTAAACTCTGTCCTGGATTAAAGCAATACCCACTGCAGCCCCCATTAGTCTTTCACTTATTCTGCTGCTTGTAAACCCCTTCTGGGGTCTTCTCAGGCTTCTTCCCTGACTGACCCGAGCCTCTGGCTCCAGTCCTGTACTTACTGAACTGTACAGAGTGGACCAGCCTTTGGGAATAGTGTGAGGGCTCATCCGGGCCATGTGAGGCTATGGAAGGTACATGGAGCTCTAACTCCATGCTACTGCCAAGCATGAGAGACCCCACAGATGGAAATTCTCCTGCCTTCAGGGATTCTTCAGGTAAATTCCTTGTAGATAATTGGCTGGAAAACCATCAAGGAATGATTTTCATCACTACATATTTCCATCTCTATAGATTTTCATCATTCTGTATTTTCATTACAAAGGAATGATTCTCATCAAGGCACAGAGGGAAATGCTGCTTTCCCTGGTGACCTCTGGCTCTGGTGGCCCCTGCCTGCCTAACTTGGGCTCTGTGGATAAAACCATGGCTGCAGATGCTGTGGCTGTGCCCTGCTACCACCCAGTGGCTCTGGCAACCTCTTGCCCACGGAACTTCCTAATGTATTTATGAATGACTTAACATTTGCTCACTGTCTCAGCAAAGCTCTAGTGTGAGCAACCTCCTACCTCACACAGTTCCCAGATAATTACAGATTAGAACCAGCTAATTTTTATTTTTGTAAAGCTGTCAGAGATCTATGTTTGTTATTATTGTCTCCTGGGTTGCCAGTTGCATAAATACATATGTAAAACCCCCTTTGATCTCTAAGTATAATGACACAGATTTATCAAATGTTTGCCTTTTTCTGTCTCTTTGAAAAGGCTGATTTATGGAGTGGAGTCCCTACCTCCCTTCCTCTCTTGAAATATGAAGTGTTTGTGATCAGCCAAGGTAATATTTAATATCCTGCCAAGAATCCTTTGCACTTCCTAACAAATGAACTACAACCTAACCAAATGGTTCACATCTGTTTAGCCTCTTCTTTTTAACTAAACAAATTAGCATTAGAATACCTGGGAGGAACACAAGGTCCCTTTCTAGATGACAGAACACAGACAATTATTAGCAAGGGGAGTAACTGTACTGAAAGGAGCAGGCATGGACCTAGCAGATGTTTTCACATCTCCTGTAGTGTCCATGAATGACCTGCACCACAGTGGACACACGGCCACGGCCTTTTGAAGTGGGTGAAGAATCCATTCACAGTCGCCTTCTGAATGAAATTAAAGGCAGCAGTCCCAGTGAGTTAAGTGTTGCATTTAAACCACTTCCAGCAAAGGTTTTGCTAGGGAGGGTGGTTTCCCCCATAAATGTCTAAAACAAAGAGCATCACCCCACTCCTCCCCACCCACAGACTCAGGATGCTCAGGAGACAACAGCTCTGGTTTTATTTCTGTTTTCACTAGTGCTTTCTCATCCCAAGAGCATCAAACCACCCAGCCTCATCACCCTTCCTCTCTGGGAATAAGGTGTGATGGGTTATTTGGGGTTTAGGAGAACACAAGCCACAAATGAACATCTGCAAAGTACAGTTGGGATTATTATAGCCTCCTACAGTCTGCACATGGGCAATTAAAAGTTCACGCCCCTCCAAGCACACAGTGCCTTTCAAGCACCCTTATTCCCACTGGGGTCCCAAACACCTTTTAATCAGAGGTTCAGGAGAGGCTCTGGGGACGAGACGGGACAGGACGGGGTGAGACAGGCTCTCCACTGAGCACACAGTTAATTGCATTCATCGCTGGAGGAGGCAGCCAGAGGAAACACACGTGTTATTAGGGCTAACACTTAGCTTTTATTGTAAATGTTTTGGAAAAGAAAACACTCTAAAGCTTCACAGAGATACTGCCATTAATATATCATCCAAATAACAAGTGATTAAAACCAACAACAGCTACTATGAAAATGTGGCTTTGCAGCAGTGGACCGCATGGGATGCAGCCGGGAAAATCATTATGAACAGACCAGCGGGGTGCAGTTATAAATAAAAACAGCTCTGCAAAGGCTAAAAAAGCAGCAATAATCAGTCTGGTCTGTGGTTTAGTGAGGGCTACAGACATCACCGAAGGTGCTATTTATTGCAGAGCCAGGGACACTGCTGAATGAAGGGATGCAACTTCGGGAGAAGTCAACAGAGGGAGTGGAGTGCCCGCCAGCGCGCCAGCGAACTCGGCCGCACATCCCGGCAGCCGCGCGGAGCAATCCCTGTCCCTCTGTCCGTCTGTCCCTCTGTCCGTCTGTCCTCCCCGCTGGGAGAAAGGCACACGAGCGGCGGGCGGCTCTGGACCGTGCCCAGAGCTCTGAGCTCCGCAGCCCGACGGCGGCTCTGGCATTGTCACGGCTCCACGGCTCAGCTCTGCAGGTGCCTCGTTCAGCCGCGCTGGTTCCTGCGGCTCCTCACCTCCCAGACACGCACGGAGCGATGGCAGCGATGCTGCCCCGGCACTGCCGGGTGACTGCCGGGGAGCAGCAGCAGTGACAAGGGGGGACACGCTCCCTCCCACCCCAAACAGAAGCGTTCGGCAGCCCTGCAGGCACGGCCTGGCCCGGCCAAGGGCCATGGGGTCCCACAGGGTGGGGGCCGAGCTCTGAGCAGCGGAGGGAAGGGATGGCATGAGAACATCGCCCTGCAGATGCTTTCACTACCCTCTTCCCAATCCTCATTTTTGAAGTGAGGAGGGTTAATCAGCCTCACTCCCAACATATTGACAGCTCCTGCCAGTCCTTGCCCCCGCTGAAAGCCAAGTGCAATGCAACGACCAGGCCAGAGCAATCAGGCCAGGGAGAGGAGACCTAAATAATATTCCTCTCTGTTGGTCGGTGACTGTGTGGCCCCAGCCATCCTGCTTACCCCTGGCATGCCTGAATTTCCCTTCAGTGCTGCTGGGTCTGGTTCAGTGCAGGGATGGCCTTGGCAACTTTGCAGCAGGAATATCCATCCAAACCTTGGAATTCAGCTGATAAACTAAAAGGCTGTTCCTTTCCCCAGTCTGGATGCTGTCCAGCAGCTTCCCTGGAAGCACTGCGGAAATGCCTTAATTACTTTATTTGCATCTCTGTTTCAATTTTGATACAGCGTCTCCTCTCCATAACAACAACAACAACAAAAAAAAAAAATCCCAAACATCTCCCAGCCCTTCTCAGCAGCAAAAATCTTGATCTTTCTCCTTGGTTAAAAACCTAAACGATGGATCTCTGGGCCAAACACTTTGCAAATGAGCTTTGAGTGCCATGCCAATCCTGCACCTGAAGAAGTTCAGTGCTGGAGCCTGTCCTGCCATGCTGGGAGATGCCCTGGCAGCAAGGTCTGGTCTCTGTGCACCTTTCTCGTAGTCACCCCAGTTAGGGACAGTTTGGTCAGTGTGGGAGATCAGATCCCTCTGTTTCCAATCACCCAGGACAATTCCTCAAAGTCTGCATTTCTCTTGAAGAACAGAGAGTCTGTCTCTGACTACAACTAGTTTTGAGGGGCACAGACAATGTGTTACAGCACACATTCCATGAAAAAAATGTATGAATAAGAATCTGTAATTACAATAGAAGGTGTTAAAAAGGGGAACAAGGGGCAGAAAGGACCATGGGATGCATCTGGGACAGCAAAACCAGGGGAAGAAGCTCAACCGCCAAACAGCCCCAGTCCTGAGGTCTCCCCACACTTTGGAGACACATGGAAACCTCTCTTTGGGTACCCCCCTCACTCAGTGGGCAAGGCTGAGTCAGGTGTCCTACAAAAATGAGAATACAGGCATGAATTTAGAGCTGTTCCAGCACTAGTGGTAAGAGTCACCACTAGTGACTCTCAGGCACCCTCCCTTCTAGCACCTTTTTCTGAGTCCTTGTGCTCTCCCAAAGCATATGCACCATGGCAGCAGCTCCTCACCAGCTCCCCAGTACAATCCATGCCCACCACGTGCAAAGCATCTCTTAGGAAGGGTCAGCAATGCTCAAACAAGCATTTGGGAGCCACAGCCTTTCAGGCACCGGGAAAAACACCCAGCACCTTCCCAGAATGGTTTAATGTGCCAACCTGAGCCCGCTGCCAAATCGTCAGTTCTCGCTCCAAGACCTGGGGGTGCCAGAACTGGTTAGGAACGGTAGGAAAACATCTCCACATTGTGGGAAAACAGCTTGTTTTGCCAACTCTGTTCTGTGAAACAGATGAACTGTGCTTTTCTGAAATACTGGAAAGTAGCCCAAAGTGCTGACCCAGGCTGGAAAATCTTCAGCACAAACAGGTAAAGTCTGGAAGCAGAAAAAACAGAGGTGACGGATGATGGTGTCAGACTCTTCAGTAGAGCCCAGTGACAAAACAGTGGCCATAAACTAAAACACAAGAAGTTCCACTTCAATATGAGAAAGAACTTACTTCCACTGAGGGTGGCAGAGCACTGGAACTCCCAGGGAAGGTGTAGAGTCTCCTTATCTGGAGACATTCCAATCCCACCTGGTCACATTTCTGGGTCACCTGCTCTGGGTGGCCCTGTCTTGGCAGGGCATTGGATGAGATGATCTCCAGAGGTCCCTTCCAGCTATTCTGGGATTCTGTGAACAGAAGGGTTCAGAAGGCAGCTCTGAAGCTCACTAGACCTCCTATTGGAGCCATAGAATCCTGTAGTACTTTTATTTCAGAGGGGACTAAAAAACGTTGACGGAACCATCCAGAAGGGTACACAGTCTGAGGGATCTCAGGGAGGAGGGCCGTCACTGATGACACCTCTGAACTCCCAACACTGTTGTGGCCTTTGACTCCAATTTAACCCCATGTTAACCCTCCCAAACTCTGTTTGGGAGATGACGAACATTAGAAGCAGACTCTGACTTATCTTGGGCGAGGCCAAGAACTGGACATGTTCCCCTGGGGGACAAGCCCTGCCCTGCAGCACTGACCTTGCTGTGATGGGAAGGAGGAATTGCAGCACCAAGAGGCAAATAATTGACTCAAGGTCCCACGGACAGCACAAGTGGCATCCTGCATCCCTGAGCCCTCACCGGGAGTGGCTCTTTGCCTGGTTAAGAAATTCCATGACTCAAAATGCCATTGGGGACAGCCTGCAATGGACCTTATAGAATTACCACCTCCAGCAGAGCTGTTTGCAGGGAAACAGTGCTGATATCTCTGTTTTAATAGCAAAGTGTTCTATAGATACCCTGCATTTCTTAGGAAGATGGAATATCTAATCAACTCTGGAGAGCAACCAGGACAACTTGCCTTCTGTCTGTAATGATGATTTCTAACAGTATCACTGCTTCCATTCCTACTCTTCTGGGACTGTCAGAACTGAAAAGGACATGTGTTTTGTGTAAGCCTTGAAATGCCATGGCCTGGCTGAGCGGGAAATGCTGCTGGAGCCAGGAGAGTGTGAATGTGTGACTCTGCTGGGGCAGATTATATCAGAGATTGATACAGGAAGTGAGAAAAAAAATCCCAGTGGGGAAAATGAGAAGGAAAAGTGCTGTGAGCACAGGGATTGTGTTTCTTCACTCATGCTGGAACAAAGAGCAGAGCGTTTTGTTCCAGCAACAGCTGACTGTGCTGGGATGCCTCCCCGGCAGGGGTACCAGGATACCTGCTCTGCTGGGGCACCACACACAGCTCACACAAAGCCTGGGGCTCCTCGTGAACCGGAGAGCACAGGGCAGCTCAGCTCCCCAAACCACCCTGCCAGGCCAGTGCTGTGCTCTGTGATCTGCTGAACGTCAGGGCAAAGGAGAGGAGGGGACCCGGTGTCCCTGCAACTCCTCAAAGCCTTACCCAGCCCTCACCTTGCAGGGCTGCTCAGAACAATGGGGGTGGGCTGACAGAGACATGAGCTGTTCCCTCCCCCAACAAGAAGTATCTCCGTCCCTATTTTACAGCTGGAGTGCATTTCTTCTACAGAGATCTGGAAAGAATGAAGATCTCCTGAGCCTCAGGGCTACTGTTTTATCTACAAAACCACACAAAATATTTAAAGGCCAAACAGACAAAACCCAGCTTCATCCTCTTGAGTCACTGGTTCAGATTCCTCCATGAGCTTCAGTACAGGCTTCTGGTGGTGCAGAGTTGCCTCCTGTGACAGCAACACCAACATGGGACCCTGTCCAGTAGACCAAGGGCTAGGAGGATACAGCACACCACTGCTATTTGTTTTACTACCACATAAAGAACAGGTATTCCATGGCTGGGGGCTGGAACAAGATGGTTTTTAAGGCTCCTTCCAACCCAAACCATTCTGTGATTCTGCAGGACCAGTTCACAGGGAGTTCCTGACTAATCAGCACAAATAGTGACAAACAACCATATTCAAATTATCCAGATGGGATAAGGGAAAAACAACATTGCATTTCCACTCTGTTCCAGGTTCAAGGAGTCCTCAAAGCCTGATGTGTGCACAGCTCAGCACAGAAATGCAGAAAGCCCAGGTTTATCTCCTGTGCAAAGCCATCCCAGCAAGGCACCTCATGCACCTCACCTGCCTCCTTCCCTGCAGAATTTGGGCAGCAGTATCAGCAGTGCCAGAGGGGGAATGGCTGACATTAGTCCTTCCTGGGGGATCACAGGGACCACAAACACCCTTGGGTGATGGCAGACAGCTCAGGATTTTTAATTTTCCACAGTGGCACCAGCAATACCGAAAAAGAGACCTGAGAGCACCTACTGCAATATCCATCTCCTGCTGCATCTTCACTTTGGCAAGGTGTTTGCAAAGCACATGCAACAGCAAAGTTTCCTAAAGGCAGTAAAATGGCAGCACATGGACACCTGACACGTGGCCAATGTGCAGCAGGGCTGAGAACACTTTCTCAGGTAAAGAGAGTATTTCTTTTAAATAAGAAATTTAAATAAGATAATATCTTACATTTAAATCCCAGTTACACTGATTCTAAAGCCGTGTTTTCCCTCAAGGCCAGACCCACTGGGTGTGGAGATCTTGGTGCAACCCAGTGACCTGCATTTTACAGACATTCAGTGATTATTACCAAGCTCCTGTCCAGCCCTTAACCCTGTCCATGTTACACATTTTGGCCCAAGAAATGAAGATGACTCTCTTCAGAACACAACCACAGGCATGTCCTTGAGACCTTTAATCAGAATGGAATTCCTCAGCAGCACCCAGGAATTGCAGAACATCTGAAGCCTGGCTCTATAATGACTTAGGAGAAACCCACAGCCCTCCTGCCTCAGCACCACTTTCTGCCTCTGGGAGGAAAATCTGTGTTTTTTTGTGAGCCATCTGCTCTTTTTAGGTTTGACTCCCACCTAAAGGTTGACCAAATTATTTGGTTTCACACAAACCCCTTCCACTCACATATGATTTATTTTCAGTGTGCTGCTTGCACAATAAATCAGAATTTCACAAGCTGTCCTTACTCTTAAGTGGTCAAGAACATTGCTGCTGTGAGAAGTGCCCCAAAACTACCAAATATCTTTGCAACTAACTGAACTTGACCAGAGTTTCAACAAAAAGTGAATAGTTTGTAACAGATTTGGAGCACTCAACTCTTTTTGGACAGTATGCACTTTATTGCAGAGAAGACTGGGTGCATTTTTAAAACAAATTCAGGAGTTACACAGTTTCCATACAGTTCCACAAAGTGTCCCCCACAGTAAGTAGAGCACAATGGAGGCTGTCAGACAGTGAGGGAGTTCCATCTTGTCACCTGCAATCACTCAAGTCACCAAATCTTGCAGGCAATTGTTTAAGAGCCATGGAAACAGGTGGCCCTGCTCCTGCAAGCACCTCTGCCAGAAAACAGAGGTTAAACTGTGTTACTCCAGAGATACACCAGCATAACTGAGACCAAGAGCCAGGCTTGGTCCATGAGAGCAGCCAGGGAAGGTTTTACATCAGTGTGACACACCTGTGATGAAAGATTTGTGACGTTTCCTGAGGGGCTCTATTTGAGAACAAGCTTGAGACAGTGTCTTCCTTTTCAGGTATTGCTGTATCTTTGGATCAGTGCTCATCCTGCTGCCCAGTCCCTCTCCACATGGGAAAGAAATCTTGGCATGAAAACACATCAAGTCATAACAGGCACTACCACAATAAACTATCACCACTGTCTCTGTCTGCCCCCGATGTTGCTGTGTTTGGGAGCACACCAGCAGGTCACAGTCAGCTCCAGGCAAGATGAGGGTGAGCCACAGGATCAAAAGCATGTTAAACTGTGACCAGAAATGTTCTTCAGTGTATCATTTAACAGGGATAATGCACTCTTCTCGGGAGACCATCCACAATAATTGCTTCGGCGAGACACTGGCTGCATCAGCAAGTGAACATTCTGTTAGATTAAAATCCCCAGCCCTTTTTCTGTAAAATGTGTTTGTTTACCTATTAATCACCCCCAAAGCAAAGCTCTTCTGAGCCACCACCCACACTGTGACATTAAACACAGCTCAAGCTCTTGGTGCCAGTCCAGAGCTTGTCTAAGGATGCTGAGACTCAATGGGCTGGCATAAGTCACATTAACATGGAAAAGCCTTACAACCACCCAGCTCTCACCTCCCCCACAACTCACAGCCTCTCTGCCATAAACAGTGATGGTGGTTTTTACCAGCTGAAGATCTGACACACAGGGCTCAAACACTAATGACATAAAACCACAATGTAGTCAGAAGTTCCCTGTGATGGAAATACAGTAGAATGGCTCAGTGTGTCCAAGGGATAAGCTACAGGAGAGCTGTTCAAATGCTTGTGTGTGTTGTGCTGAAAGACAGTTTTCTTCACTCCTTTAGCACTGTGCCAGGTGTATGAGAGCTAAAAATCTACTGAGGTGAATGGGAACCTTGGGAGGAGCAGCTTATTGAAAAAAAAAAACCCCAAAACTGAGGGCTTTGGTGTAATACCAGTGCAGGGATGGCACAGATTCAGAGAAGAGTTCACCCTCTCATATTCTTCAAAGATTAAATTAAAGGAAAGGGTGCTTGGGGAGAAAGGTGAGAAATCATTCATTGGTCACTTCCTGATGGCTTCACCAAGGCTGCCAGTGCTAAAGGCAGCACGTGTGCGCTGTGACTTCCTAACTTATTACCTCAACTACCCACCAAACTACCTTTGGTGACAGGGACCATGACTCACAGGGACTTTGGAAGGCCATCCCGAAGTGATGTGCTTCTGGCATAGACTAAATCATAACCTGGGATGAATTAAGGGGCCTAAGACCCTGAATGCTTTAAGCTCTCCTGACTATTCCCTTTCAAAAACAAAAAAACCCTGAAATTATCACATGAAGTGGTCGCTAGGCACAATGATTCTTCTTCAAACAGATTCCCACAGGATTCCCCCTTGCAATCACTAAAATATACTACCTGATATGTCATGAGAATGACAGGTATTGACATTTAAGGCAATCTAATTTCCATAGCCATCTCATGACTTCCCCCGCGTAGTTCGCCTTTGTCTTCCTTCTCCAGGACCGACTTCTTGCAGGTGAACATGACAAGCAGCAGCAGTGGCAAGTGCCACAAACTGCAGAAGAAGAGCTTCCTGGAGCTGCTGCGGTCAGCATCCCTGTAGAACCGAAAGCCGAGGTAGGAGATGTAGAGGTTGATAGGGAGCGAA